GGACGCTACTGGGGGCTCCTGGCCATACTACTAGGAGCAAGGACGCTACTGGGGGCTCCTGGCAATACTATTAGGAGCAAGCACGCTACTAGGGGCTCTACTGGGGGCTCCTGGCCATACTACTAGGAGCAAGGACGCTCCTAGGGGCTCCTGGCCATACTACTAGGAGCAAGGACGTTACTACGAATCCTGGCCATACTACTAGGAGCAAGGACGCTACTAGGGGCTCCTGGCCATACTACTACACTACTAGGGGCTCCTGGCACTAGGGTCTCCTGGCCATACTACTAGGAGCAAGGACGCCACGGGGGGCCCCTGGCCATACTACTAGGAGCAAGGACGTTACTAGAGGCTCCTGGCCATACTACTAGGAGCAAGGACGCTACTAGGGGCTCCTGGCCATACTACTAGGAGCAAGGACGCTACTGGGGGCTCCTGGCCATACTACTAGGAGCAAGGACGCTACTAGGGGCTCCTGGCCATACTACTAGGAGCAAGGACGCTACCAGGGGCTCCTGGCCATACTACTAGGAGCAAGGACGCTAATGGGGGGCTCCTGGCCATACTACTAGGAGCAAGGACGCTAGTGGGGGTTGTCACGAAAGCTAGCCTTAGCTAGCTGGAGTTGCTCTTGCTTTAGCAAGTTAAGTGACGGGGTGGACGCACCTCAGAAACTTCAAATAATTGATTAAATCAATCTTATGGACCCCCCCCCCGCGGTTCGACTCCCCCCTGCGCGCGGTGAGCGGGACCACCAAGCAGCTGCAGCGCACCAAGCATCTGCAGCGCCCAGCGCAGCAGCGGCAGCAGCAGCACCAGCAGCAGCACCAGCAGCAGCAGCAGACCACCCAGCGGCGGCAGCAGCAGCAGCAGCAGCAGCATACCCAACGCCGCGGCAGCAGCAGCCGCAGCAGACCACCCAGCGCCAGCAGCAGCAGCAGCAGCAGACGACCCGGCGCCTGCAGAGCACCCTGCGCAGCAGCGCCCAGCGCAGCAGCGGCAGCAGCAGCACCAGCAGCAGCAGCACCAGCAGCAGACCACCGGAAGCCCGGCTAGCTTTCGTTCACCCCCTCTGGCCTCAAGTAGCCATACTACTAAGAGCAAGGACGCTACTGGGGGCTCCTGGCCATACTACTAGGAGCAAGGACGCTCCTAGGGGCTCCTGGCCATACGGACGTTACTAGGGGTCCTGGCCATACTACTAGGAGCAAGGTCGCCACTAGGGGCTCCTGGCCATACTACTAGGAGCAAGGACGCTACTGGGG